TGATTGAGACTGCAAGTAGTTGAACACTGTTCGACACCTGCATGGTTGAAGCAGGGTCACATCATCGCGACTCTCCATACCAGCTGGACGTCACAAATTTACCGCTTGGGATCCAGACTTGAAAGCAAACGACGGCAGCAGAAAGAAAAGGAGGTCGGACGAACTGAAAAATGCAGTTTGACAGGCTAATAGTCTACTCAGCAATAGGAGCGTCGCAGAAGTGATAGACATGTTAAATCCAACACTAATGAACGTATTAACTATTTCAATTGCTCGCCAATTTAATAAGAGCCATGCAGTAACAGTAAGATAAAGTGTTAGCTTAATACGTCGTTAGTATTTAAGTAGTGAAGACAAGTGAATGGACTTTAATTTTCGCAGAGAATATGTAAAGATGTTACTTATTTTATGTGTTAATCGCGTTTCAATTTCTTTTATTTTTGGGTGCAACATACGTCTGTATATTGGAAGCTTACCGGGATTTGGGTGCTAGGTATTTGGGTGATATTGTTTCATTTTGGCGGATTTGTTTGCTCTTCTTGCTTGTTTTGGATTGAGTGTTTTTTCTTCCGGCCCTTTCAACTACGTATTATAATTGGCTTCGTAATGTAGCTTAGGGCATAAACGATGTAAAGCTAGTAGTAGGTTGAATTCAGTCGCTGTCGAAGATGTTTCCAGCGGCCGAGTTCTCATCGGTAAGTTTTCTGTTTGTTGGTCTTGGCGATCACAGTAGGCGAGTGCTGGGATCAGCTACCACTAAGTAACTGGTGGCGAACTGTTCTTTCCTTTTTTTGGTCCGCCTCACTCTTTTTAACACACAGATTACTTGCACTTACATCCCACTATAAGAGGATGATATCGCGGGCTTTGAGCTTGGCCCAGTCGTGGGGGTGCCCGCTGTGGGAAACACTTGTGGGAAAACCTGCCAGTGGAACGCTAGTCGGCGACGGATCTCGCTATCCATCGGTCGATTAAATTCATGCCCACAGTTCCTGAGTATGAAGACGCGCGCACTATATTTACTAGGACTAATGGTCCACAGTATTTCCTTCGCGTTGATGATAGTCTATCACAACAGCAATGTGTTGCGTTAACGCAATACAGGTGTTTGACGTGTGTGTCCTCTCGGCCGGATACGTGAATTCTGGTGCTGAATTCTATCACGTTGGTCTTCGCGTGGAGTGTAATTTCTTGCGGCTATCTTCCTCGTTCCTGTCGTCTGGTGTGTGGAGGCATCTGCTCTTTTGGCAAGCTCCGCTTGGCGACTGGCTAACCGACCATTTGTGTGTATATAGTGCATTCTGAAGTGAATAACTTAATGGAGAAGGCAGGACCATATCAAAGTCACGTGTAGTTAAGTCACATGCGATGTTAAAAAACTTTACAATATTATAAGATTACATATAGAATAGGATGAGTAGTATATGCACGACTGATCCGGTGTCGTCTTAATTTGGCCCGCAGATTAACTAGTTCGCAAACCTGAAAAAAATATAAACAATGCATTCTGTAAGTCGATTGCTTCAGGATTCTTTAAAGTTGCTTATTCGCGACGGCCTTCACCCTTTGTAAGCAGCATGCCGTTTAATATGATATCAGGATGACCATGTGGACCGAGCCGAACAGAATCTCCTTTCCAAATTGCATCTATGCTGTGTATGCTATACCAGATCCACTGGGAGACATTGTGAAGAAGAACAACACTTCTCAGTATATTATTTTGATCGTTGTGTGAGGTACTCAATTTACGTTTTCTAAGCAGCTCACTCGGCTACCAGTTAAGTTCTGTTGCAAGCCTCGCGCTCAGCTAATGGAATCACTGCGGAGAGACTCTCGTGTGTGAGCTAATAACCCTAAATTTTGAGACATGAGTAACTATCTCTGTTCGAACAGAGAGTAACTCGTTTTTTATGGATATATCGGTTGGCTGGTGATAGCATGGTGTGAGGGGACTGTGCGCAGCGCCGGCGACGTTAGGGGGGCGGTACTCCAGAGAAGGCGAGCTGTCTAGCGTCCCCAGATCGATCAATTTCGAATGGTACTCCTCTTAATGAGGCGCGAGTTCCGGTATTTCCCTCCGAAGGCGGCTCCGGGCGGCTGCTCAATTGTCCGTCTCTGCGTCCTACCTCTTCACGCCGTCTCAGCGCGTCTGCGCTCACGTTTTTTTTTTTCGTTTTTTGTGTTGTTCGTTTTTGTTGCTCATCCGATCGCTTGTCGGTTGCTTTCTCGCTCTTCCGTCGTCCTTTATTCGCCGCCTCTTCCGGGCGCGCTCTCCGTTTCGCTTCTCCGCGTCCTTTTCTGTTCGCTCCTCCCTGTTGCTGCTCTCCGTTTCGCCTCTTCGTCTTGCTCCTTCTCGACCTGTTCCTCTTCTCTGCGTTCCTCTCGTTGAGCCTCTCTTCGCCCGTTCGCTTTGCCTCTGGCGCCGTCCGCTCTCACGTTCGCGCCCTCGTCGTTGCTTTCTCCTAAAGTCCGCGTTGCCCTCTCCCGTGTGCCTTTCTTTCGTTCGCGCCTCCGCGCTGCGGCCTTCCGCTCTGCCTCCGCTCGCCCTCGGCGCTCGCGCTGGCCCGCTCGCGCCTCTCGTTCCCCCTTCCCTCGTTTCGCCCGCTCGGCGCCCCCCCTCGTTCGCACCCCCGTTCGCACCACCCGTTCGCCCCCCCGTTGTCGCACCTCAGTTCGGTTCTTTCTCGTTTTGCGGCTCTGCGCTCGCTTCTCGCACTGCAGTGCTTTTGTTTCGTTTGTTTTTTTCTCCGTATTTCCTACTGGCGACTGTCCCTCCTCTCGCCAGTCCTTTCGTTGCCGTGTGTTCCTCATGTTCGCCTGTTCTTCGTCGCCATTATCGCCTACTCTTCTTGGTTCCATTCTTATTTGCCTGCCTCATGCCGGCTTCGTCTGCCTGTCTTTACGAGGCTTTTTTGCACGTCCTGCCTCTTTTTTTTGTGTCCGTGCATCTTTTTTCTTTGCCCGTCTTCATGTCCTCCGCGGGCTACTTTGTGTCGGGCTCCCTGGCGCCGCGCTTCTGCAAGGGGTCGCACTTGCTCTTGGGTTAACTTCCGGACGTGTGGCTGCCTTCGCGGCTTCGTGGATCTCGGTTCCTCACCGCTTACCTTCTCTTACCGGAACTGGTCAGTAGCGGGGCGGTGTGCGTCAACGGGGTATTTTGGAGGTTATCAGGCTTTTGTGAATTTGCGTGCTGCGTGAGACGGCTAGTATGTGGATCTGGTGTTAATTGGTGACTTGGTGTTCACGTGACAGGTAATCGTGTTACTCAGCGTGATAAAGCGATTCTTTAGCTTTAGATTATCCTTTTCGATGTCTTGGGCTCACTTTTCTGAACATGTTTTTAAATACAATGAATATTGTCAATGGGTCTTTTTGTTAATTTATTTGTACAAGAGTCAAAATATTTGCTAATATGGTAAGTTTTCATGTTAAATATATGTTTTCCTTTTGATTTCTTAGTTATGTTACATGTTTAGACTTCTGTACTTCTATAATAATAATCAAATAGTGGAATGTTTGATAGTATGAACCTACAGGTCCCTTGTTCTGGACACTTTTTTTTATTAACTGCATTTAATCGCAAAGTCTCTATATGGATATCTCTTCTGAAGCCGACACTGATTTTGCGAGTTGGGAAGGTTGGGTCATTTTGCTTTCTGCTCCGTATGTAAGTTGAATATTGCAGCTCCTCTGTGTCTGTGTATTTATTTAGCTAAAATGTGAAATAGCTGTATGATTTTATTTAATGTTACAGAGATTTCAGATTGTTGATCAACTTCGCTCGCCTTGACTAACATGATTGGTGATTAATGCTCAGCTTATTGGGCGGAAGGTATTTTGTTGCGCTGTTTTTGAGTGTACATGATCTAGATAAAGCGATTGCAAAATTGTCTTCGTCCCTTTGTTTTCCGTTGTCGCTCCAGATGAGAATTAATTCCGAGGAATACCGGCGGCGAAGCGCTGTGCATAGTTTCAACGACATGGTTCGCGCGGTGTCTGAGAATGCTATTTTAATTGACTGTGATCCACCACAGATTTAGTAGTGCTAGGTGGTAGTGGTTGCTCCATATCTATGGGTCTTCTAATATTCGTGAGCTGTGGCGAGTAATACTTGCATCTTTCTCATTAAAGAAATGCATTTTGACATGCATTTTGTCAATATGATAAAAGGAGGTCAGGTAAATTGAATATGTAAAGCAGGAGACACGAGGTGCAATTCAGGATACTGAAGATAATGTGTTTTGTTGTCTACATTTGAAGGCTAGACAGATGTAGAGGGAAGTAGTAGAAACAAGCAAGGGACATAAGCTGGCAGAGTTAAGGTACTTGTAAATTATTGCGACTGGAGTATTGAGTGTAACTGTGACAAGTTGACCTGGGTCTCACTATCCTGAAGAACGCGCTTAAGGAAAGCGAGAGAGATTCAAATCGACCGACAGTTTTTGCGGTAGTTTTGTATTCTGCGGCTTCTTCTTGTCACACCAGTGTAAGAGCTGGACCAGCAGCCTAACATAACGGTCCATCGGACAGGGCGCGCGATTCTTTTCATTTCGTGCGTCTAGTCGATCCTCAAACGCCTTACTTGCACAAACTGATCTCACGACATGTCGCTGAGCCTTCGGCTTGTCGTGGTGATTGTCCCTACAGTGGTCGGCAAATATCTTCATGGGGTAAAACCCACAACGACGTAAGGTCGGCGGCGAATTTGCCATTTGCGAGGAAACAGCGCATTTGTGAAGGTCGGGCCGTGAATGTACTAATAATTTGCATCAATCGGCATGCAACTGTGTTGCCGGCGGGCGGCGCGGTGAGGTCGGTGCTGTGCGGTCCGGCGCAGGCGGCGAGCTACGTCGTGCATCTCGGGGCGGCGCGATGGTCGGCGTCGGGCGCTGACGGATTGATTCTAGGGCAGGGAGAGTGGTCGTTTTTTGTAGGAGGAAGGGTGGGGAGGAAAGGGGTTGTGGAAGGACCGATAGGACGCAGGTTTTGCTCGTCTTCCAATGGCCGAGACGGAGAGGAGCGATGTCCAGAGCATGCAAAAGAAAGAGGCGATCGCGGCGGCGCAGGCCGCTTTGCTAGGTAGGTGCGGGCGGTGTCTGCTATGCTATCAATTAGCGGCGGATGACGTTGGCGTTCCGCAGGGTTCTCTGCGCAGCACGCAGTGCGAATGTGCAGGCAAAACGACGCGAGTCGTACTGTTCTCGTTAGGTTGCATTCCGCTGGTGGGCGCCTGGATTTGGGCGATAAACTGTATGACTCTAGTCAGTCGCCTGTTCTGACGCGGGAGGTTCTTGGGTTAGAAGTTGAGGAGTTTTTTTCCTCAGAGCGACTTCGATAGATTACAATTTTTATTAGCTTAAATGCCGAAGGAGTTTAAATTGATCTAAATTAAGTTTATTCTCATGACAATATCAAAATTCATCTCTTTCCTCGAAATAAAGGATTAAGGAATGTTTTGATTGGGTAATTATTTCGCAGATTGAATGACAATATCTGATGAGTATATTTTCTCTGTCTTACCGTGACAATAATCTTTTCAGCTTTGTCCTCTAATTCTCATCTCCAATGTCTTTTATTCAAATCTGACATGTGATAGCTTTTCTATCTCGAAAACTTACGTTCAGCATTTTGTAATTGTTTTCGTTTTAGATAAGTTTATTTTTTTTTGGCAATGGACTATATTATAATGTGCTTTTATTGATCAATTATTCCTCATTCATTTTCGATTTATTTAAGATCTGTAAGAAGTTAGGTTTATTTTACTCAAGATTAGATAGGTAATATTAGATATCATGTTAGAAATTTTCTTATCAATAGAATAACACAATTACTGTAACAATATTTCAAAATATACTAATTACTATTTTGAATCATGTGTTCCAAATGATATGTTATTTGTATGCTTTAACTTAGTTTAAGTTTCTAATCTGAAATGGCATTTATTTTTGTGGATGCATGTGTGGTTTTTTATTATGATTTCGTATAGGTTTGGCTAAGATGTTCAAGTTTCGTTCCAACGCATAATTGATTTATTTTGTACTGTCAGATTTCGGTTTCAGCGACTCCAAGGAGCAGTGAAGGTAACGTGTCTGATCATCGGGATAATATATCTTTTCTTTTTTAGGTATTATGTCATATAGTCTTGATGTGATGATTACAAGTTGGTCACTCTCAGACTTCGGATTTAGTCTAGTCCCTAATTGGTCTGATCTTCCTCAATTACGAACTTTTTTTTTGTTTGTCTGTGTAAATAATTAATAAAATGTTTGGCCGGTAATAATTGGTCGGTTGTAATAATTACTACTTGTTTCCGCTAGAGTCTAGCGAAAGGCTAGCTTTAAAATCTCGTTAACCGCGATCGAAATATTGATTTGATATAGTGACGTTTTGATTGACCGTGGAACAACACTTTTTATTATGTTTACTGTATCAGATTGAAGATTTGTGCAACTTGTGTATTGTCTGGTGGCGAATCCTGAGAGCACTTTCTAAGATGATGAAGAGATAATAAGAAGTTTGTGTTCTAGCTATTATTATTTTTTAACTATCATTTCTAGAGGCATTCTGTCTTGGTTTTAATGGTCTATACACGCAGTTCTTTGTTTTAGTTTCGTAAATTTAAACTTGGCTATTTTTTCTCGCTCTAGTGGCTGAAGCAGCTCGTGCCAAACTCATTACTAGTGCTTAGAACGTTAGAAGTAAGTAACTTCTCCGGAGGTGATATAGTAAATGAGTTTTGTAAGATGATGGTTTGCTTATACGTTTTCCTTGTTAAATTCTTTTTTAAATTAGTACCTTAATGTTCCTTAACATTATTGAGCGATTCTTCTGTATGTTTGTTTTTTTTGTTTTTTGCTATGACGGTTTTACTTTAATGTTGATTTATCTTTTGGACTGCCAATCGCATAAATTGCATTTGCATTGTTAAATCGTGAGAGTGGGCTTCCGTGTGTTGTTTCACCGTCTCATTGTTCAGCTCTTGTTTGCCATCACTTTTCTTTGTTCTGAAATTCAACAGATGGTTTATGCTGAAATGCATTCTAGAGAGTATTTTCAAGCATCACATTTGTGGATAGAATATGTATTATCTTGGAAAGAATGTTAGAATTGGTTAGTCGGGACGGAGTAGGAATTCTATATATTGTAATTTACTCAGTTGAGTCTTGACTGGTTCTTTATTTTTATAGGTGTAACACCTGCCTCTTGAGTCGTAGGTCAGGTTAATTCTAGTCGGTTTATTAGTTCGTGTAGCTTTCTCCTAGGATTTAGTTCTGCGAAATGTACGTTTTTCGGCGTTTTTTCTGTCCAAGATGTTAGAATATTAAGAAGTATTATAAAATAATAATACTTTAATGTTCACTGTAATCCATTGAATACAACGTTTTCATTTTGATATACGGCATATGAAAATTCCCTTTGGTCATTAACAATGTTGTGTATAAAATTGTACATAGAATTTTGGTTTACATTCTGCTTATTAAGTCTTCGGTAGTACGTATCAAGAAATGTTGAAGTATTTTGTCTTCCATGTCAATGATGTCATCTTTTTGGCACTAAAATTGACGCTCTTGCCGTACCCAGAACCTCTTTTGTGCTTTCGATGTTGCGGCATAGCTTGCGCATTCCAAAAACGACATTATCAACGCTTTCCTTTGCATCTGATTTAAATTTGCCTTGGCGTGAGATTTTTAATTTTGGATTCATTATTTTCTATGCCCAATCATGTCGAACTGATTGAAAATTTAAAACGTTTAAATAATTATCTATTCATATAGTTCTTGTGCGAAGGCCTCGGCAACCCCCAATTCCAACGTGTTTACACTTAATAAAATGTCCTTGCTTAATGATAAAGCACGATTTTTTGTCATACTAATATTTATATTAAACGATGACACGTGGAAAAAATTATATTTAAATCAACGAGAAAGTAATAATTTTTTACAATTTTCAATGAATTTGAAACATGTAGAAAACAAGATTATACTAATCGCAAGTTTAAATTAGGCCGTATTACATCTCGCACTTAGCTACGTAAATATTTCAAGTAGTGTTTGTCATTTACCAGTGCAAAAGTCATGCAGTATGATAAGATTGACTGAAAACACCAACAGCAGTTCTGCAGCTTTCAACAACGTCAAGGTATCTTTGGCTTGTCCTAAGGGACGCTGGTCTCGGACAACGCCTATTTATTTCTTTTAACTAACAAATTTACTTTTTTACTTTAAAAAGATTTGACCCGTCTGATTTGTGGTATTCAATAATAGGACACATGCTCAAAGCAATGAAGACAATCGTGTGTGAAAAATTAATTTTGCTGTATAATGTGGCTGCAAATACTCTAAATACTAAAATTTCAATTCATGTTTATTTTGTAGAAGTAAGAAAACGACTACTGTTCTGTCCCCAAAATAAATGGTCGATAATCACACAGTCGTTTCGTTTGTATTCGGTTCAATGGCTTTTTTCAGTGATAGCTGGAAGTGTAAGTAGCCGCAATATTAACATATTTTTTCGTCTCATCATTTTGTGAAAAGTATGTGATGATTGATATCTAATTTTTCTCAAATAGGGAATTAATCATGGTTTTGGAATTTTGAAGTCCATGTTAAAATTAAAGAACAGAAACATTTACTGTGACTGTTTAATATTCGATTATGTAAGTAATAATTTACTACTATACTTTAGAATCATCTCTTACAATTCTTCCATCCGATACACAGATCTATAATGTCAAAATGATTAACAATCCATTAATCCACGTTGCTAATCTATACAATAAGAGTCCGTCACTCTGTATATAATGTACATTTGTTTTGATACTTAAATTGAAAAATTACTGAAGATGAACGAGATTCACATTCCTCAGCACCGGTTTTGTCCTTAAAAGGGGATCGACAATAATACGAAAAAAACGCTCTGAGAAATTGTAGTTTATGCGTATAATATCTGTTTTAGATAGCCAGTTAGGACACTATTAATTACTTGGGCGCTGGAAAAAAATGGTCGCGTTCTCCTCTTCACACGAACGAAAAGGTGCAGCCACATAGGAGCGAACAGTCATTGAAAGGGAATAGTTGGGCGCCAGGTAAGTTTTGTAGATGGGGTTGGCCTTGCAAATAGGGAACGTACACGACGCAAGGCGACAACAAAGGAAAAACAGGACAGAAGGGATTTATTTGATTAGCGTTTTCGGTCGGGCGGGCAACTTCGGTCAGGTAGTCAGTAGGGTAGTGAATGTTTTTATCGGGAGGTGGCAGGAAGCTTCTCCACAAATTGGCGGAGATCCGACAGGACCTACAGTTGCTAGCAGAGTTTTCTCCGCCAGGTATCTCACCAGCGGGGACCTCCCCAGACACGCTCTAAGGACCAACTCTAAGCTTCGTCCAACTGGCAGTCCTCCCTTCATGACGGTAGTGTATTCCAATAAGTATTAGGAGGCGCGTAAGTGAAGGGCGAGGTAAATAGGGTGAGGGGGTTTTTCAACTGGTGCGTCGCGGTCCCAGCAGGCGCCAGGATCATTTTGGAGGGGGCGTAGCAGTGGATTTATTAAAAATGATTTTTAGATTTGATTTACATTATCCTTGTTTTTTTACATCTACAAAATAATCCTGTACATCATAGTATATGTTATTTGGTAATATATATGATTTATAATTAATTAAGAAATTAAATGAACAGGCAATCCTTCAAAACCAATAAGGTTCTATGGCCCTTGAGCATTGACATACATCTAGCGGCGGTCGGGTTTTAATCTTTGTTCGATGCAGATCACTCTTAATTCCGTGCCACGCGAGCTGTGAACACCTGTTGTTTGGTGAGGTTTAAATAGATGTCGAAAAGAAATGAGAGGTTGCCAGTTTCAATACTGAACCAGTATTTGAAACAATTGTTTATGAAAAGCAAGCTCATCCTTCTTTAATATTAAAAGAGGATTTGTTCATTAAAATTAAGTTAATAAGAATGTGTTACGGGTTACTGTAGATAGCCAAATTAAAATGGAGAAAGAAATAGAAATAACATGGACAAATTTGTATAACTTACTTGTTGTTGGAATCTTTTACTATACCTATGGTTAACTCTTATATTTGAAAATTATTGTTACCCGGGGAGCCGCAGGAGTTTTGTTTACGTCAAGGGACCGCGTGGACGAAAAAGTTTGAAACCCAGGGAATTAGACAAGGAAGGAGGAAAAGAGATGCTTGCGGTCGTGACCCGTTTGGTAGGTTTACTACTCCGAGCATTTGTCTGGTGTTGAATAGATGTGAAGAACATCCTATCCTTGAGAATAGAGAAAAAACAAATCGTCTGGTACGGTCATGTTATTGCGAAGACAGACGAAAGATCGGCCCAAACGAGTCCTGAAATGGGTGCCGACAGAAAGACCAGAAGAGAGGAAGACCCAGACGTTTGCATGGCACAGGGAGTGCAGAGGCTATTGACGGCAGAGAAATGCAGATGATCCTATGGTCGCCAATAGAGAGGCATGGAGACTGAGAGCGGAGAAACGCGACAGCTGTAGAGCACTCCGTTACTATATATTATATATATATATATATTATATATATTTATATATATATATATATATATTATATATCTATCTATGATCAGAGAACCTCGGAAAAAATCGCGATCAGGAGCGAACTGAGTGGATGGCAGAGGCCCAGACGCCGGAGTGGGCAAGTTGGACGGGAAGTCCAGGGCCAGCCGGTGCGGTGAGGCGGTTTACCGCAGGGTAGTTGCGTGCGTGGCAACACAACGGTGGCGGTCGAAGTGGGGGGGGGGAGTGTGGGACGCGCAGGTTGGTTGGGAGGTTGGGCGCGCGTGAGACATTAGGCTGCGTGAAACGGACCGTGGCTCCAGCGCAGTCGGTGCCGTTCGAAACGCCGTTTACAAAGCACTCCACCCAAATGGAAATATATCGCGAGTAATAGTGCTAATCTCCTGGGGCTGGCAATTTGAAAGCTCAATGTAGTGTTGAAAAGAAAACACTGCAGTTTAATACGCAGTAATTTGTGGGCAATTTAAACGCTGGTTGGCCGTGCGGGCTGAGGAGCGAACCGAGGCGGGGGAACGGCACGAGGATACGTGGGTCGACGGGGGGGGAGTGAGATGTACGGTTTTCTCTGAAACGAAGACTATTCACAAATCGCAAAATGGTTAAGTTGCGACAAATTGACTCGAAGGGATTAAAAAATGACGGAAGTGACAAGGAATTCACGTTGAAGTTGTGGTGTGTATGTGTTGGTGTGTGTGTCGTGTGTTTGTGTGTGTGAGAGAGAGAGAGAGAGAGAGAGAGAGAGAGAGAGAGAGAGAGAGAGAGAGAGAGAAACAGGCGGTAGTAGGATACAAAGGGCGAGGAACAAGGTGTAATGAGATAAAGCACAAAGTCGAGGGAAGCTAAAACCGAGACAAATACAGATAAAAAGAGAACAACGAATTGGAAAGCGAGAGGGCTGGCTTTGATGGTCATGTGTCAATTGATGTTCACTGGGCAATGTATCTTTTGGGAGATCGTAGGGTAGGGAGTATTTACGGGGTTGCTGAGGATTTTCGAACTAAATTACATGAGTAAGAGGAGAATTATATTGGCAAGCTTACATGGCACTTACACTACACTACCACACACTCGGACACCGTTTTCTATGGGAACTCTACAACTCGTCCGGCTGACGGGCCCCGCTTGTGGGAGATACCTGGTTGAGTAATCCCCACACAAGTACGATCAGGCCGATTCGCCATCCAGCTAGCGAAATTACCCGCACATAGCAAGAAAACCTGCACTACCATGACAGGAATAACCCTTAGCCGTGGTCGCACCTGGAAACATTAAACCAATCAATAAAAAGTACGAGTGGGAGGCGAACGAAGGTCATTACAACGTAAGAAATAAAGTGGAGGAATGTTTTAGAGTGAAGAAACGTGGCGAGAGCGCATGCTGGGGGCGTTGGATGCGACCCGTTGGGCTGTCTGTGGGTAGTGGGGCGGACGAAGTGAGAAGGGCGGGCGGGTAATGAAGGGAAGGGGAAGGAAGGGGTGAGGACGGGCCAGCCGGCCGGGTGTGTGGAGAGTCGGAGCGGGGGGGAGGAGAGTCGGCGGGGTGAGGTTAGAGGGAGTTGGGGGAGATGCAGGGCGTGGCGGGCAAGTCGCGGGGCGGGTGTGAAGCGGGCCTGGTCGGGGGTTGCGGAATCGGGGGTGGAAGGAGGTAGGGCGGGGCGGGCGGGGCGGGGCGGGGGGGTTCGGCCCGGTGGAGGCCCTCGCACGAGTAATATATCGGTAGGAAGCGGCGGCAGATGCTGCCCGCTCGGCCGTGTAAAGCCTGCCTCCCGCGTGCCGTAAATCCGCGGGAGAGAGGGAGGGAGGAATGTTAAGCAGCACAAAAACAATGCAACAATTTATTTGTCGAGTTACTTAAGCGATTTCTGCTTTAATTGTAGACAGAGCGGTTGTATGTGATTCTACGGCCAAGTCTTGCTACACAGAGAGAATTTATGTAGAGAACTGAATGCTTTCTTGTTCTAACAAAAACACTAAAATTTGGCCCATCGAAATCAATAGCTTCGATGCTTGCTTTCTATCCAACAGCGTTCCTTCCGAAATCTCTTGCCACACGTATGGTATCATTCTGCACCATTCGATAAATAGTCTTATTTTATAAATTAAAGCACCAGTTTTTCATTTATTATTTCTACAACGATTCTTGCCTGAATTCGTGTAACACGCCTTTGCACGTGGTTAGTAAGAGTTCACGCCAGCTGGTTTGTAGTTAAACACGAAAGCTTAAGTTTGTTAACTACAGGACATTAAGTCACTGTTCTAATTTTTTTTCAATGTCAATCATCAAATAATACAATTAGAATATATTAGAACTCAGAATTCATGAGATTCATTTTTGAGGTGAGATTATTAGAAATTAATATTTGTTTGTATTATTGAAGCTACGTATTATTAAGTACTGTTCTCGTTTCGTAGTTGTGGGCTTCTAGAGCCCTCAACTCGAGGTACTTAGGAGACCACATTCCCGTTGTCATTATTTATTTAATTTTAAAACATTGTTTTTTGTAATTTTAAGGTTAATTATGTTCATCTGCGGTTCCTTCTACGCAATAGACGCTTTTAATTTTTATCTAATACGCAAATTGTAAAGGATAAAGTGGAAAATAGATAAATAAGGTAATTAATTAAATAATATATGAAGTGTCATGTATGTAAACAACTCTCTACTGTGCAATTATATATCCGGTTCAATTACTACAGAAACTTACCGGAAAGCTAGGTTTTACCTCATTTAGTCCTATGAAATTAATTCACACCACTTCCAACATTATACCATTAGTAAGTCATGATGTATGCTGGTGTGTTGATGCTGTATGTAGTACCATTCCTCACTTCACTGAGGCCTTAAGGTCCCAAAAAGCAAAAATGCAGCTATACATATGTTATACTTTGTTGGTAGTTGAAAGTCGTTAGTAACTATTGTAAAAAAAATAATATGTGTTAACTCATCTAGGTAGTCGTAAATATATTTTCCGGAAAAGTCGCAAAACAAACCATGGTATTAACTTCGTTTAAACCAAGCCCCGTTAACCTGACTCCAATTGATTTATTTATGGTCTTTAAGGATTATATCATGTTGCAACATAGATTCTTTTAGTACTCGTCTATAACGTTCTGTTTATCTTTATATTGTGTACCGTTTACAACACGTACCATTGCTTCATGTTTTCTGTAGGGATTAGCGCCAGCTTGTACCAAACATCGGATTTAAAAAAGTTTTTTGCTTGGAGTTGATGAACATGTCTGGCTGGATTCACTGTTTCATTCACCTTATGCTTCAGGCCAATCCAAACGTTTCTGAAATAACAACATTGGTATTATTTGCTTCTGGCTTTCTCATGAATATGAACAATATTTCCAGTTAATTTGGATTTTAAAAAGTTTTCACAAAGAAAATACCCTATGTTTTATTACAAATACCAATATATCTTACAATGACATCCTCGAGATTTACATGTGCAAACTCAGTGATGCTAAAATTAATTGCTTTCAAACTCATCTAGGTAGTGAATTTCATCTGAAGATTTTGGTTGCTGTATGTGGGTTCCCATTTATCTCTCGCCCGCATTTTATCGCTAAAGTAAGCGAAACGTATTAAATTTTTCGAAACTTGTACATGACTATTTCAAAATCTATTATTTTACGAACGATTTCATTAAGAGAAAATTCTCTTTACATACATAATTGAGGAAGACTCCGATAAAAAATTACTTTTGAATTTTCGAAAAATTAGAGAGTTTTAAACGGAAAGTTAGCATCTACCCCATTCTCCTTAAACGTCCTTTTTACTATCCCTACCAAAGTTATAAAAAATTAACGGCCTATTTTGAAAAATTTGGAAAATGTTCCAAGGATTGATTGTGAAGTACTTTCTCAAAGTTAAAATATAGGTTTCCAAATTCAAGGGCCGCGACATCAGTCCAAGATCTATTTGGGAATATCATTTTTGAAAAAAACAGCTGACAATTTTAGCACTAACGTTGTTACAGACGGACAGAAAGTTTTCCGTTGACTGAGGCGCGAATTATAGTTTGAGTTTTGGAAAGCTGTTTGAAGAAATCGAGACGAGGAACTTATATTCCGCTTTCTGACCGTTTGACACAAGGAAGCACTTGTGAAACAAAGAATATAAGATTGTTATCATAGCGCTGCGTTAGGTTCATCCAATATGGAAAAAATGTTGAATACCTGATCGGGCGAAAGAAATGTTTTTGGATTTTTGTTTTCACTCGTATTCGACTTTGTGAACTAAGTTCCCGGCAAACACCTGCTTCTACGGATCATACGGCGATCTAAGAATCTCAACATAAGCCTCACGCAAGTAAATTGGCTTCTAGTGCAGCCGACAGTGTTGCCAGATGTGTTAGAGAAGATTCCGGCCATGTTCTTTTCAGTTTTCGCCGATAATCCGCTGAATTGTTATTAAATTTCCCGCCTAAACCGCTAAACGTATATAATTATTTTTTCCAGCATTATAATGTTGTTAATTTATTCTGTTACAACAAAATATGATTGCGAAATATAAGTGGCTTTTCTTGAACCTGTAATTCAATTTTAGAATAGTATAGAATGCTACTTGGTGTGAAAATTCTTGCAAAATAATAACAATTGATTTTCAGAGTATATAATTTATTGTATAAGTTTATTACGTAATTAATAATATTATTACTTATAATAATATTATTAATTAAGTTTATTAAGTAATATTATTTATTCTTGCTAGTTAAGATGAAGTTAAAATTTTCAAAATATACATCTGTGCGAGATCAACTTTAATAAGGATGGTTACGAAAACTGATGCTTTACTAATTTTACTGCTTTACTAACTTAATTATTCCCGCCGTTTATCCCCTGTTTTCGCAAAACTCATTTTTTTCCGCCGTACGAGTTCAAAATCCCGCTGAAAACGGCGGGAATTCGCGATATGGCACACTGCAGCCGATACGCGGGCTTGCCCAGCTTTTTACACGAAGCCACCCATACCCACTGCTGATTTCTCAAGAAAGTTGATTCCATCGCATCTTATCTGGAATATGAGAGGGGATGCCCCCGAAGTTGTGTACAGTGTACGTCTGTCTTGCGCGTAGTTGGCCAAGTCGCGCTGGATGTGCCGCGTCCTGACGCGCATTTTGCAGCAGTTTCAGAGATTCGTATAAAAAAAATTCTTTTTCTCTCTTAAATGCAGTCGCGTGGTTTGAGGCCAAAAATTCACCGCGAAGTATGTTGTGAAAATGTAGCTTTCTTTGGATATTAGTTGCCTCAAAGGAATGCGTTATGATTGATTGGTATTTCGCAAGTACGCGCGCCATTTTAAAATAATTTGGCCCCCTATATCCAACACTTGTCCAATCAATTTTCGCTTTCAAGGCCTACAAAACATTAATTCTAGCTACAGCAGTTGTTACAGAGATTTTTTTTTAACTTTATCAACTGAAATGTTTCCACTGTTCGTTACTACGGCTCTATATTAAGAGCTTATCATTCAGAAATTTCGATTTTTTTGACACCAGCCATTACATGAGTTTCTTCTCTACGTCGCGACGAGGAAGTAAAAAGTAAGTCTTCACATTTTATTGTGTTATTAAACATCAATACCAAAGAATTGTCGAATTGTGAGACTGATTAGTGCCCCGCAACAAATATTTTTTTCATGCGTGACTATCAACCTAACAACTCGTTTGAATATAGCTTTCCGCTGCGGAACGCTTCGTTCGGTACGTCCTCTACATAGGTCTTCGAATTTAAAGAGAAAATTCTTAAGAACTTTTTTATCCAGAGGTCTATAGATTCTCATCTTTGCGAAATCCGAATCTTCCTGCAACCTCTTCTGCTTCTTTCGCTATTTCCTTCAAGTACTCTACAAAGTCAGCTCCTCTTATTAACTGGTCCCGCTTAGATCCATACGTAATGTAATAAAGCTTGCAATTCAATTTCACAGACGGCAGAACCATTCAAACTTTTAAATAACTTTTTTCCCAGAGCATTTCCAGCATCGCACAAGTTTCAGAAGCATTTACCGGAACGAATAGTCCGAAAGGCACGTTGTTATTTATGTTAACCCGACAACTTTGGGTAATGAAAATTAATTTTAAAGCTTTTCATAAATGTTCGTTTTTTCTTCATAATCGTTAATAGAGTGCCTAAATTTGGAATTTTCAATCAATTATTTCAAATAATTTTAGTAGGTAGTACACTACTTTCTTTGCATTACTGAAATTGTCTGTGTAATATTGAAATACATACAATAATCGTCTTTTAGACGAGGTAAAATTGTAATTTGTGACATAGTTAAAAACTCAGTTATCAGTAGAAAAGTGCAATTCAAACAATTCAAACTGAAGAGCTGCCAACTTTGCAAACAAGCAAAACAGTGCCTCTGATCGTATGGCACACATCTACAACATCAGCTAATTTTCTACCTGGAGAAAATACAAATGGACAGAAACAATATAATAATAAGATATATAGTGTTATATTCATCAAAACTACTGTTTTGAAAACGAATTACTCCGATATTCTGAATCTTATTATGCACAAGAAAATGATCCATGGTCTTTACCCAGTTAATTAAAAAAACGACGCAATTTAACATAGATTTAATGTCCAATGTTTAATTTAATGTTTTTTTTTTCAAGTTCGCATGACTTTCTCTCATCCTCTTTCAAATCACACTGATATTGGAGTGACGCCGCCTCAAACGAAGCGCAAGAAATTCGAATTTACCATGGAAGAATGTGAAGTTGCTGTCATTTTAGCCATTTACGTATTTTTGAAAATTGTAAACAACAAAACAATGTCATTGCAAAAGTACAATTTTGATGATAAATATATTTTTGTAAAAGAAAACCTGTCCAAAAATTAGTCTTTTAAAAAATTTATCTAAATACCGGTTATTTAAAAAATATGAGGAATTTAGTATCAATACTCGAAATTGCAAATTCCAATTGCCGAACTTCTTCTGTGCTGGAAATTTTCAGGAGTTATCCACTTATAGTATTATTTAGGAAAAGTTATTAAATAATTTAATTAGTAAATTTATTATTGTTAATTAATATATAGTTATAGATTAGTTACTTATCACAAGTTATTTAACACACATTAATCTTTCACGTGGAGGGACCACACACTAAGACGGTTATTCTGGAAAAAAGGTTCATTGTTGGTCGGCAACATAGGCTTTATTTATCTAACGCTTCCAAGGTAAGAACACTACAATCAGCTAACAAAATTTGAAGTAAAAGAAATGTATTTGATAGTTCCATCTCAATCAATTTCTTCTTATAAGAATGTTTATCTGCATTCATATTATTAACCCGAACGGCAAACACTGACGTAAATCCATAGACATAATACTTTCCACCTGCTGCGCCGTTGCCATTTTGCCATTAGGAGAGGTCGTGAAAATCTGTACCTCTTTATAAGTCTATTCACTCTATTATGACAAGAAATTTAAAGAAAAATATTGCGAACCATTTTGAGAAATTTTCAAAAAATGTTATAGGACTTCTTGAAGTCCTAAGCTGTAGCAAATTTATCTTAACGGTAAATCCGCCACTGATGGTAGAGGTGGTAATTTGTATTAGATAAACCGGCGCCAGTACGGTATTTTACGCAAAAAATTAAACTGAGAATAATTTCAAATTTAAACGTAATCGCATGCGCAGCTGAAATATCGCTGGTTCTAACTATAGCGCAAAATCGCGCAAGACGACCAGCTCTTAATTCTCCTCCTCAGGCACTAGTCGGGAGGTGGCGAAAACGTTTTCAGAATTGCCACTGGCGGCGCTAGCGACTGGGCGTAATCGCAAGGCGCCGTACCGATAGCAGAGCCTCCGGTGACCACTCCTTCAAAATATTATCTCCCTAATTCTTCACACTAGCCAAGGTCAATCGTAAGAGTAAGTCATTTAAGCAATAATTCGTAGTTTTCATTTGATCGAACGTGAAGGCTTTTTGTGATAAATATATTGTCAGGTATCAATATTTTAATTCAACTTATGATCATTTCGATCGCGTAGCGATCATCCTCAGAGCTTGCAGGCTTCTAGGGCGAAACAAAGTTCTGCGCGATCGAAATGATGCGTATGTTGAATTAAAATATTGATACCTGACAATATCTTTTATTTTTTATCATAATAAAAAGGTATCTACTTCACCAACAATCCAATTAATAGTGAAGGTTTTTGTTTATATTTGAAAATAATTATTTAATCACAATCGCTTGCGATAACTAAAACGAAAAGTCGAAAGTAATGCCAACGTATTTCGTGGGCGAATATGTTGAAAAGCTCTTATCTTATCTAACGTAATCTACTAACCTCTCGTTTTTATCTCTACGCAATACCACTCGCACACCAACCCAACCCGGTTCTCGAGATGCCAGCATTCACCCGAAGCCTGTTTGGGTTCTTGGCACGTGTACTTTACTGCAAATCAAGGAGAAGTTCGTACATACACATACGGTCCGGAAGGGCCGCGGGACCAGGGCCTCCAATGTTCAAGGGCCTTCGACCAAATATTAAATAAATATTTAATACTACAAATTGTTCAAAAAAATTAAAATTAAAAACGTATACAAAAAAAATTATGTATGATTAAAAAAACTTATACGAAAAAATTGCTTAATATATAATGTTGCTTCGTTGTTTGCGAGAATGTCAATCAGTGATTAAAAGTTTAGTGGTTTTTCGCACAAAACTGTCGTAAATTTGCGAAGGGGGAGATTGGTGAGAAGTAAGAGTACATATAAGGCATCCCAAATTTAATGGTAGACTAGGGCCGCCCAATGGTCGGGCTAAGGCTCCCGAAGAAACAGGAAAGGGAAAGGGGCCCGAAGCTGTTAAAACAACCACGCACACGCCACATACATAATATACATAAAGACAATTTGTTTATGTTTTTGTTTTGTGGATAAGCTAAATTTGTTTCCCTGTAACAGAGTTTTATTCCTTTTTATGAAACAATCATTTACAAAGTCCTATTAACATTATTAATATAATATTATAGATTAAGCATTATTCCAAGACTATTTTATGACTAAACAATTTAAACTTCACTGTAAACACAGAAACGACAATTCAAGCTGACTAACGCTTCTCTGTTTAACACTTCTTTAATAAACTTAAATTTCAATATTTTTTCAAAATCGTTCCCACTCATTCCCTCTGGCGGTCCTGAGTTTCAATTACGCGCAACCACTCTTAACCACGCGCCAAGGGTGGAAATCACGACATGTTTAGAATAAAGAAAATATATTTTCTTTACATATATAAGTGCAAGTATTTTTCATGTTGTAAAAACCGCAATTTTTCGCTGACGTTGTTTTGTGCTGAGTCAAAGATCCGCAATTGGGAAAGCGAAGTTAAACGAGAAAATGGCGGCGTAGGCAGGTGGCGGGAAACGCCCGGCCGCCCCTTCGCGCAGACGTGACGGGTAGCTGCGCTGACCTCGCAGGCTGTCAAGGGTCACATATTTTACCTGCCAAGTCCCCCGGGGGCTGTAGATAACTCACTCTCACGCGCCGCATTGCAAGTCTCGACATGTTCGGGTGGTCATCTCTTGGCCCGGATTGTCTTTAGATCTGTGGCGTAGCATTGGTTGGAGTCATCAGAGGCAAAACAAATGGTTCACCCCATTAATTAAATATAAACATATCTATTACTGAATTGTTTATACATTATTTCATAAAAATTAAAGTATATTTGCACATGACATTTATTTATAATACATTAAAGAACTATGTAATTCAGAATAATTGAAATATGAATTTTAAATATTCTAAAACGATGTATAACTAATAAAATATACATGTTTTATATTCAAATCTTTTCGGAATGTGATGGCAGCAAACGTATTTGCAATTTCATCAAAATTATGCTTATTGCTATATCTTTCTTATTGATAATAGCTAATTCAGAAAGTCTTACTTCAGTCATTGTAGATCGCAAATAAGATTTTATAAGCTTTAGTTTGATGAAGCTACTTTCACACGAGACGTAAGAAATAACTTAATAATGATTACATTTTTGATTTGCTCTTATTTTCTCGAAGTCAGTCGCAGGATTGTACAAATCAAGTGCTGCAATTAATACCCCTTTGCCGATTTCTTTCTTAGAAAGAAATTCGATATAAATAATACATATGATTTTGTTAGTATTATCTCTTTGTTCCATCAACAGTTTACTCTTTGAGATAAAGTAGTCCTTGAAATCGAGAATCTTTGGCCATTAAAGAATAAGCTCTCACTACTTACTTAGTTTCGTGTTTTAGTTAAAATTATTTCTTTTCTTTTCTTTCTTGGTATTTATGATTTAAATGTAAAACTATTAAATTAATATACATATTTTTTCATAAACCATTAAAAACTTATAATTCCAACTATATTTTTTTTAAAATTCGTGTCACCCAGGGAGGATCGCTCCATCCCCTGCCCGCTCGTTATATATGCTAGTGATTGAGATTCAATTAGAAAAAACGGGCTTTTTCGTGATATACTGAAAGAATGCACAGACACATATTTTGCTCGTGTTAGCAAGAAGGCTTCTTACATCGCTTCGTAGAGATCATGAAGAGCGTAATACTTGCGACCCCCCCTCCTAGAATAGGAGACGACGAATGAATTGATTCCTTTACATCTGATGAATGGAGAATTGCTTATGTACCTTAGGTTCTACTGGATCAAATGGTAGAGGTGAACGTGATGGGTGAATGGTGAAAAGAAAGTGGTGATTCACAATGATGCATTTCAAACACTAAAGCTACAGTCATTAATTCCTGTGATGTTTATGACACTTGCATCGTTCCTCCCTAGTCATTATGTACGTCATGTTACCATCAATTCACGTGAACGACTGTTGTGTGATCATTACTATCCATATGCCTTATTTAAATGACGAATCGTTATTTAGTTTTCGCAATATAATAGCCTGAAACCAGTTCAAAACGATTGCGAATGCTTCTAAAACAATTGCGGTCTCAGTTTTGTGCTTGTGGCTCTTCGCTATGCCCTTGAATCAATAAAAGGTTGCCCTCTGGAAACGTAAAGAACATTATTATGATATGTAAATATTTCTATTAAACCCACGTCTTTCGAAACATGACTTCTTCAACGCAATTATCACACGTCACACACGTATACTAATATCTCTCCTTGCAATTCCCTCCCTTTAAAAAAATGTTGCGTCTACATTTGAGAGCCGAACATGAAAATGTAATACAAGATTCTAAAAGTCACCTCTTGAACTGACACTGAAGGAACAACACTCCAGAAAATGAATATCTTGGGTGCTGTCGTATCATTATCGTGTTAAGTTCAATTGAATGGGCGGGATGCATTTGTGGGTGTCTATTTAAACTTTTTCAAAAATTTGTACTAATTGTATACTATAAGTATGTTTAGTTTAAAATTTTTAGATTTATATGTGCAAGGTTTTGTACAGATTTTCTCAAAGGCTATGTCTTTGAGGAAATCACTATCTATTTAAATAAATAAATAAATAAGGGGGTCATAAAAAGGTTAAATTATAATGCGAGTAATGTGCCACACATATTGTGTTATTGCGCTTTCAACAAATTTATGTTATTATATTTTATACTTTCCTTAACACAGAGTAGAAACCGTTAAAATATAATAATATCGAAAGATATACGGTAGAAGATATAAAAAAATTTTAATCTAATTTTTTAATGTTTTGTAGGAGAAACCTGACATATTCCACTCGCGTTTGTCCCAACGAATCATTGTAAGGAAGCTTTGAGAAGTGGAATCGAAGGCAGTTAGGAGCCTCTTTCGTACAATCACACTCTAAAGTTCGCCAAAGCCTCGTGATGAATATCTCCATCAATCGAAGTGACTCTCCTCACAGAAACTTTCCGACGTTGAATAGCAGACGAAAGGTCTTCACGTTAAGCGATACCCAGAATTAATCCAACCTCCCCTTCCAGGAATGTCTTTGTTTAAGGGGAATAATCAAAATCACCCCCGTTCAGTATTTCGCAGAATCGAACTTTCCCCCTTGTTTTCGCGACGCTGTCACCGACAGTACTTCTTTCGGTGGCGGCCTTCCTCTGTCTTTTGCCGCTGGTGCCCCCTCCTCCCCCCTCCGATGACAAGTCTGTTCCACCTCCTGCGCCGCTCTTAGCCTCTCGCGCCCCCCCCCTCACTACCTACCGGCTGTGGTGGCTCAGGGCATCAAACAACAGAAGTGTCTTAGGTAGCTCATGGCATCAATTTATGTCACAGGAGTGCTTCTGTCTGGGAGCTCTTAGGGTTACACTCCCGACGGTGGCACGAGTTTTGATACTAGCTAGATCGAATTCAGCCGCAGTCTGGAGGAGAATTCTAGTGGACGGCTGCTATGATTGGTCGTTTTCCGTGGCTTCTTGATAAACACCATGTCAATACCGGGGCAGTGCCCTAACATAAAGGCCAGGCACCGAGCGCGATCTTTCCTACCTCTTCCTTGTCCTATCCTCACCTCTTACACCCACTTACACCTACATGCATTACACTACTCCACTTGCAGGGAGACCAGTCGGAAACTTGGAGTTTGCCCCGACTTGAGCGGCGCCATGCTAGTTGGAGATACCTGGTTAAGGAAAACCCGCAAGCCGAAACGTAGGACGACGCCGGATTTTGCCGTCTATGGAAGATAACCACCACTTACCGTGATACAAACACACACTGCACTTACGGGAATAACCACCCTAGCTGTTGACGCGCCCGAAATCACTAATCAATCAATCAATCCGTCTTTGCACTGGCCTAGATCGTCCCCTCTCCTCACTGCCTAGGCCAACCACAGTACTCTTACGTGAATAACCACCTTGGCAGATGACGCGCCCGAAATCACTAGTCAATCAATCAATCAATCCGTCTTTTCTCTGACTTCAATCGTCCCTTCTCCTCACTGCGTCGACCCGCCACGTCAGCCCTCGTCCGCACTGCCTCCCCTCCCCTCCAGCTCCATCCCCCACCAGCCACTCGCGCCTCGCCACGACCACTCCGCGCCCCTCCGCCGCACTCCTTTACGCTCTTTGTCGCAGCGTTTCACAGACGACGCCTCCGGAGAATGGAGCCGCCTTCGGCATTGTTCGAGAGCGTCTTTGTGTGTTTCTTCCCGTATTTTCTTCCCCCCCCTCCCCTCTTCAGCTCGCTTCCGTCGCCTCGAGACTCCCTTGAAGGCGTTAATTGAAGCGATAACTCATTAAGATTTGACTGACTGAGGCGGAATTTTAAAGAGAAAACTCATTAAAAAAGCTCGTTTTTGTTCGTGACACGGCAAGTAAGTAACCTTTAATGTGGTTCCTTGTGAATTGTTACGTAAGTAAGACTTCGAGCTTGGTGTATAGGGTAGAAGAGTCACGACACTGTAATGTTCTCTGTAGAGGGTTTGTTAGAAGAAAGCAGCATCTTGTAAAACAGTTTGCGTGACAGTTAAGTCTATATCATTGTTGCGTGCGCAACAATAGTATTCACAAAAACTATCGTTCAATAAATGTATGTAATTATTTTCATTGATTATTAAAGTTAATAGTTTTTCGCAGAGAAACAAAATAATATATGTACATTATTATTAATTATTAGATTGATTGAACATATTGTATGAAAATGTATTATGTCGATGTATTAGATCGTAGCAACATAAGCAATATTGGCGAGATATTTTGTGGCGACACGATAGCTGTTTGCGTTTTTCTAAATGTGCTATACGATACTGTATCATTTCTAATCGTAAAAGTTTTTTATTCTAAGAAAACTAACATCTTGCCTACTTCTACTCTGCCAAGTCCCTTCCTACTTCCGTACCTATACAGAGGGCCTTGACTCTGCCGTACCCTGAAATGAGCTGGCCGGTATCCCGCTCCCGGCCATATATCGAGTAATTTCGCAGCTATACATGTATGTTCTTTGGCACAACAGATCTTTACGAACTAAGACATACTAGCAGCGTCCCAACCTTGCGCCATGAGCTAAGGGGTACGCGTGGTTAGCACACAGCCATTACTACTCTGTATTTGTGGTATTCTCAACGTGAGAAGTGAGCTTTCTCAATATCTCACAGCAACAGATTATAGGACACTGAAGGGAAAACGCACAATTAATTTTTGCCTCGGCCGGCAATCAAACCCGGGGTTGCGCCGTGGAAAGCGATCACGCTAACCCACGAGCCACCGAGGGCCACTTGCAGTTAGACATATCTTCCATTAAATGAGCTCATGGAATACATTTATTTCAATCATGTAAGAAAGGAAATATTTGAACAAAGAGAAATGTTATTAAAGCACTCAAAAACATATTTCGTTTTGTTTTGTTAGTGGAAGTTTTTTAAATTTATTCAATACACAGAACGTTGTGACTAGAAACAATTAGTTTAGCCCACGAATTATTCGTATGTTCTTAATTTTAGCGCCTAAGTTTCTACGAACGACAGATTTTATAACGAACTCTCTCCAATCAGTTGTCAATCTCCGTATATTTGCAACGAGTTTAAATTATGTTCATTAACTTTATGCTTAGTGTACCGAACATTCGAATCGTTAATTTTCTTTTGATGTATTATCGTGTACGTGTATTAATACGACACAGGGCAGTTTAATTTATAACCGGTCATTAATTAGCTATTACGTTGGCCACCGTGATTAGAGGTAGCAGGGCTTTGACTTTACTCGCTGGTCGGTCGCAGCGGGCAGGGAGGTGGTACTACGCAGTGTTCGCCGCATGAGATAGCACGTGCACGAGCGGCCGCGTTTTCCAAATGCTGCCGCTTGCATTTTGTGTGTCGAGCCAGTTTTGCAGAAATCCAGAGACGAAATAACATCCCGACATCCCCACTCCCCTGTTCTCTGCCCGCTGAACGGCCAACCTCCGTTTCCCCAACCACGGACGGTGATAAGGTTACCAAGTCTGCTTCCAAAAAATAGTAGACAAGGGTGAGAAAGTAGTAATTTAAAAAAATCAATCAAATTGCGGGGGGCAAATAATTTATTTTTTGGATTTAATACAAATTTTACAGTGAATTCACGAATTTATAGAATTTGCTAATTCACTGAAGCTATGTGTTTGTGTTTTATACTGGGAACTGATTCAATTGAGGTCTATTACTAAAGATTAACCTAGTATTACATACACGGTGATTTAATTACAACACAGAAAAACAGTATTTACATAAAAACCACGGTTACTTTTGTTTATAATGCTTCAAAAATATCTCTAGTTTGGCATATTCGCGCTCTACATATTCAGACTAGTACTCATTGAACCTCAATTGTTATTGAGTGTTCCAAAACATACCTATTCAACTAATAAAAAGTATAATATAAAATAATAGGAAGATGAGAGTTAAAAAAATACTATGTAAATAATTTTATATATTTTTATTAAATGCCTTGCAAATTATATTGAGTATGAATGATATTTTTTTTGGAGAATTGAGTTCAATGGATATTCGATCTTTCTCTCATTCAAACGTAAGAAAAAACAACAACAAAATAGACAAAACGCGATTCTCCTACCCTTATTCCCTTAGGCTCTACAACTTCAGATTACGTACCATTTCATCATAAAGCTTTTGAATTTTAAGAAAATGTCAACTATTTTGTGGAAAAAATAGTGACTATAACGTGAAAAAAAGCACACTGTCTGCTCAGTGGACTCCAGGAAACAGGGCCGTCAACTGGGGTTGAGTCCGAGTGTGGAGTTGCCCTGGGTGGAGGTCGCTCCCCTCCCATCTTCAACTCTCCGGGAATTTAGTTTCTTTGTGGGGAAAGAATGGAGAACATAAATGGAGGGAGTAATGCAGGGGATTATTTGGAAAAATTATTTATTTCCAGAGTAGAGATAGAAATATTATTCTTTCAATTATTATTAATAAAAAAGAAACAATATACGTCATTTTCTCTCATTTTATGTATCAGAAAGAGAAAATTAAACGACAAAAATTGAGAAGGTATAACTCACACACACACACACACACACACACAAACACAAAACAAAAAAAAAACTGAACACTATACGACTTCCAGCAGTTTAAAAGGACGATGATTGACTTGAATTATTTGAATTTAAGAGGACAGCCAATGGAATCGCCAAGGACAGGTAACATAGTTTGATATAATTAGGAGAAAATTTTTCGTCTGTAAGTTGGGGAATTGTGTTTCATTGGAGAGGTTATTAAAGCTAAATGTCCCGACACAATTTGTAGCCCCACGTGGCAGCACCAAAATAGGTAAAATTAAGTTTACGATAACGGTCCCTGAATCAATGGACACTCGACTTTTCTCGATCTGAACACAGGCATTTGCACGCTTTTTAAAATAGAATTTTAGCTACGATGACGCTTTTTTCCAAAAATCTAATCAAAAAGCGATTTGAAAATTAGTTTTCAACTTTTCGAGGACAAACTTTAAAATGTGGCCTTATAGAATAGTGAAAGCATCCTAAATTCCACGCGCCGTGACCAATCATGGCAATCGACGACAGGAGCAGATCGAAAAGTGAAATTTTACGAAAACACCTCGCCCCCCCCACTTCCTCTTCTGCGCCGTTGCGTCACCCACCCGCCCACAGTCCGCGCGGTGGCACGGCCAGGCCCGGCGGTTAACGCGGTGCTGGTCTAAGATTAATTTTTAGCTCTTCAAATAATTAAGCAATTAAAAAATAACAGTCACATTTTTTAGCTTTATGGGTACTGGCCTGTTGATGGGTGATGACGCTGTTATGCTCGTATTAACAAATAACAGA